AGCCTCTTGGAGCAGGAGGCCTTGCAGGGTCCCAAAGACTCATTTCTGGCGGAGTTTGCGGGAGAGAAAGAAAGACTTTGGCTGCTTTCCTTGCGTGCAGCCAGAAGCAGAAGAAGAAAGAAGCGGAAAGAAGCAGCCCAGTGGCCAGGCCAGGCGCGTGGTGCACGTAAGGCAAGTTCCCCCCCCCTTTGCCCTTTCCCCCCTCCCCTCACTACCTTGTGTTGTTCGCAATGCAAGCGACACAAGCCTTGTGTTCCCACCAGCCATATGGGTGGCGCAGCCTTGTGTTCCCGCATAGCCTGGATGAATTGCTTTGGGGGGACATTTCTCTGCGGACCACCAAAATTTTCTCATGGCCCACCAGTGGTCCCCGGCCCACCGGTTGGCGACCACTGAACTAGAATGCCTCGCACCAGACTAGGCTACTGCAGTGTGCTTCACATGGAGCTGCCCTTGGAGACCTCTCAGAAACAGCAAAGGGAGCGGTGCAAAATGCAGCGCTCTGTGTATGAACAGAGGAAGTAGATAAAGCACCAGTTTGGTCTAGGGGTGCAGGCGCCAGGAGAGAGCTCAGAAGATGGTGAGTTCTAGTCCCGCCTTAGGCACGAAAGCTGACTGGGTAACTTTGGGCCAATCACTAGCAGACGGTGAGTTCTAGTCCTGTCTTAGGTATGAAAACTGGCTGGATGACTTTAGGCCAATCGCCAGGAGGCACTGAATTCTAGTTCTTCATTAGGCCCAAAAGCCAGCTGGGTGACTTTGGGACAATTACCAGGAGTTGGAGCGTTCTAGTCGTGCCTTAGGCATGAAAGCTGGCTGGGTCATTCTGGATCAATCACTCTTGCTTATCCCAGCCCACCTCACAGGGTTGATGTTATGGGGAAAATAGGAGGAGAAAATACTGAGTCATTTATAAAAATAATAAGGGCAGGGTACAAATAAATAAATAAATATAATTACCAGTATTTGTGTATGTGTGTTTATCTATATATCTATACCTAATGTCTATATATCCATATATCTATCTATAGCTATAGCTATCTGTATCTATAGCTATGTTTTCTTAAGTTTTCACAGGTACTTACATGTATGGCATTCAGCTTTGTTCGGGTATTTTCCCACGTCATTATAGTTGTGCTTTTAAAGTTGTAGCAACGTTTCGGCAGAATCTCATCTGCCATCATCAGGCAACTTTAAAAGCACAACTATGACGTGGGAAAATACCCGAACAAAGCTGAATACCATACATCTATATCTATATCTATATCATTTATATATATCTCTATCTATCTATCTATCTATCTATCTATCTATCTATCTATCTATCT